CATCTTGTGCACTGGTCTCGCCTTGAGAAGTGATTGGCTAGTGAGGCCAGACCAGTCCCGACCTTGAGTGGGCCGGAGTCCATGAGCCAGACAGAGAGTGACCTTAAAAGGCTTGTCCCGGCGGCGTCCGAGGAAGGCATGGCTAAGAAAAAGGGTTCGCTACAACGTCTTCAGATTCACAATATTGTTGTTGCATATACGGTGCTTTTGAGAGAGAGAGAGGAATGCTTTATTTAGAAGTGAATATCCTAAATTCTCAGCAAAAATGGGTTTATTCACGGAGAGCAAGGGATAAGGTATGTAAGGCGCGTCATGATAAATTGTCAAAGGTAAAAGGTCATAGAATACTCAAAATTAAAGTTTTAAACGATATCCATCTACTATGGAGACAGGTCAGATTTCAACTTCTCAATTTCCGATTCTTCACACTTGAGGCAGAGTGCTAAGAAAGGGAGTATAGAGTGCTGATATGCCGATGTACGGCAAGACATATGACGGAAGCCTTGGCGCATTGTACGGAAGACTTCGCAGCTATTGGTTCAGAGTGGAGCGGATGAGCATCCTCGCTAAGGATACAATCAGAAAATTGCTTGACCGTTTCAAAGTGGCGCTGTACTATAATGTCAGCTAAAAAAACAAAGGAGACGCCGGCAGCTGAAGAGAGTATTCGGAGGATACGTTTAAGAATGACCAGGTCTTTTTACGTAAAGCTGGAAAAACAACTGGAGAGCAGTAAAGAACGAGGGTGCAGTATTTATTGGGGTTCGGTTGTCAAGCCACATCTAACTACCGCATTAAGTAGTTTCCGTATTCATTGCTGAGGGTTGTATGTGATGGGATAATCGTTTGCCCACTCTCATTTAATCATTGATTTTTATACTTTTCATCATAATACCTGGACCATTTGGCTTCCAGTCGTAAACATTAAATTGGGTGTTTAAGGAAAATACGATGAAGCGCATCATATTCCTAATCTTTCTTTGCATCCGCTTTGCTAATCATGGGGGGTGTGGATTGAAAAAGAATCGTTTCTACAACGTGGTGTGGGATCATCAGGCCCGACCTTTTGCCCCATAGTGAGCTCCAGGCCAATAAAGTTTTTG